CAAATTGTTGTCTCTCCAATTTAGAGACAAGGATGTCATGTGGGACAGTGTTGAATGCTTTACACAAGTCCAGGTAGATGACATCAACTGCTCTACCCCTGTCCATCAGTTCTGTAGCCCCATCATAGAAGGCCACCAAATTGGTCAGGCAGGATTTCCCCTCAGTGAAGCCATGCTGGCTGTCACCAAGCACCTTGTTGTTTTTCATGTGCCTTAGGATGCCTTCCAGGAGAATCTGCTCCAAGATTTTGCCAGGCACAGAGGTGAGACTGACTGGTCTGTAATTCCCCGGGTCATCCATTTTCCCCTTCTTGAAAATGGGGGTTATATTTCCCTTTTTCCAGTTTTTGGGAACTTCACCTGACTGCCATGATTTTTCAAATATGATGTCCAATGGCTTAGCAACTTCATTCACCATCTCCTTCAGGACCCGCGGATGGATTTCATCAGGTCCCACGGACTTGTGCATGTTCAGGTTCTTAAGATGGTCTCAAACCAGATCCTCTCCTACAGTGGGCCTAAGGTCTTCATTGTCACAGTCCCTGCATCTACCTTCCAAGACTTAGGTGGTGCGGTCAGAGCCTTTGCCAGTGAAGACCGAGGCAAAGAAGTCATTCAGAACCTCAGCCTTCTCCAAATCCTGTGTAGCCAGTTCTCCCGAGAGCTTCCTGAGAGGACCTACATTGTCCCTAGTCTGTTTTTTATTTGCTACATACCTGTAGAATCCCTTCCTGTTATCTTTCACATCCCTAGCCAAGTTTAATTCTAACTGGGCCTTGGCTTTCCTAAGCTGGTCCCTAGCTTCCCAGACAACATCCCTGTACTCTTCCCATGCCACCTGTCCTTGCTTCCACTTTTTATAAGCCTCTTTTTTCATTTGAATTTTCCTCAGGAGCTCCTTATCCACCCAAGGAGGTCTCCTGGCCCTCCTGCTGCACTTCCTTCTAGTTGGGATGCAACACTCCTGAGCTTGCAGCAGGTGATCCTTGAACATCAACCAACAGTCTTGCCCCCCCCTGCTCTCTAGGGCTATATCCCATGGAACCTTACTAAGCAGGTTCCTAAAGAGGCCAAAGTCTGCTCTCTTGAAGTCCAGGGCAGTGAGCTTGCTGCACGCTCTTCTCACTGTCTTGAGGATCTTGAATTCAACCATCTTGTGATCGCTGCATCCAAGGCTGCCCTGGAGTGTCACATTTCCAACCAGCCCTTCCCTGTTGGTGAGCACGAGGTCAAGCATGGCACCTCTCCTTGTCGGCTCCTCTATGACTTGCAGAAGGAAGTTGTCTTCCCACAGTCGAGGAACCTCCTGGATTGCTTGTGCGGGCCGTACCGTCCTTCCAACAGATGTCAGGGTGGTTGAAGTCCCCCATGAGAACAAGTGCCTGCGAGTGTGAGGCTTTTCCTATCTGTCTAAAATGTCCCAACAGCATTATTTGTATGTGTTTGTCCATAGGATTACTTTATTTTGATGCACACTCACTGTGTATTTCTTTGGCAGGATCTTCCACAGCCTGAGTCTTAAGCAGTTGTAGTTCAGACTTGCACTTTTGGACCTTAAATAGGTTTTTCTTTTCTGCTCAGCTCCTTCTTTTGCTTTACATCAGCTCTTCCCTCATATTTTTTTTGTGAGGGACGTTCGTTCTACTCCACAATGATTTTTTTCCCCTTAGTTGTGTGTAAGGAAAATGGGATGGGGCTGCAAATTCATAGGAATTTTTGTACTTTTGGGGCCAAGTCCCTGCTACATTCAGATCCTAGAAGTCTTAAGATTTAACTTCCTGTTTTGCTGGACATTTCAAGTTTAAACTCACAGATCATGGGTCTAGGTCTGTTTCTGTTCTTCTGCTTATTTAAAATTGAATCAGTTTGTGGTCACTTAGACCAAACTTCTATGCTACAAGCAATTACCTTGGAGTGGTTTGGTACTTCCAGAACCGTATCTAATGTGATGTTGCTCTAGAGCCTGGGTCTACTTGCAGTAGAAATTTGTCCCTTTCATGCAAGGATAGTTTGTACTGTATTTGGAAGCATTGCTTACCACATGGTGAATTTGAAACTCTTCTAATGATGTGTTCTGTTAGTTTCTTGTAGTAGGATGGTGCTCTTCAGCCATAACAAGATCCAACCATTAGAGTGAATGGCAGACCCTATTTTAATTCCCATGGATTGTCTTTTCCAGGCTTTCTAAAAGTGATTTTTGACATAGACTGTTTCTGGGTTTTACTGAAGCAATCAATTCTTATTTCTTTTCAGTCTACTTCATCAGTTAATGAGAATTGCTACCTCACCGCCTTTAACCTTTTCTTCTTTTTTAAATAATGCATATCTTTCAATGCCTTTGTTTGAGGCAAGATTACTCGTCCAATGTGTTTCTATTGTTCCTGTAATATTCTTTTCTTTTGTTCTGCACTAGAGATTCTACTTCCTATATGTATCTGGTCTTAATGTGCAGCATTTCTCTTGATTTTCTTTGGTTTAATCCAGTTTTAAATAGCAAATTTCATTTAATGCATCACACAAACATTTATTCCTCTCTTCAATATTATTTCCATATTCTCTTGTTGCCTATTCCTCTCCTCTTCTGTGTCCTATTACCCATTTTAATAATCTCATTTATCTGATTTTCCTTTTTCTCCTTGTGTTAGAATCAGGCATGGAGATTGAGTCTCCCAATCCTCTATCCTCTGTTTCTAGTTTAAAGCTCTTATCAGTCATGAGACCACAATTCTAGGAGTTATCCATGTAGAGTCCATTCCCAAGAGTGGTTCTCATCCTGTGAACCCCTTTTTGAGGGTCACATATCCCAGAACCTTGTTAATAGCACTGGCTCATGAGCTGTCAGTGTACCCTACATCTTGACTCATGCCTTTGCTCTTTGCCTACTGAAGGGCACCTGTAACTTCATTAATTTCTGCATTTTTGCATGGCAGCCATCCCTGATCACCTCTAATGTGACTATGGCAGTGCCATCTGGCCTATCATGAAAGACAGCCAGTGTATTTTCTTTCTTTCCAGTTAGGATCCTTTCCAGCCCTACAGCACGTCCTAGCTGTCAGTACCCATTCTCTTGTCTAAATCTGACTTTGACAACAGTCTTCCCAATTAATCTTAATAAAAATCATTGGTCACAGAGATCTTCCTCTTCCTAATTAAAGCAAAAAAACCTTACAGAGTCCTCTGGCTTTTTTTTTTTTTTTTTTCATGCAACATCCTATGGCTCATTCTTGTTCTTTGTTTCACTTCTGCCTCTTTCTCTCTTCTTCAGATTGGGGCTGAATCCCTTTCTTGTCCTCTCATCATTTGCCTATTCATAGGCTTCATTTGTTGTTTTTTTTTTCAGGGAAGTAAACTCTTTTTGCTCCTCTATCTAGCTGATCTTTTTCTCTGTTTCTTCTTCCAGGGTCACACCTTTCACATACACTATCATCAGATGATCTGGACTGTATCTTGCTCAGAAGTTATCTAGAGTCTGACATCTCTTGTCTCTATCACTTGTTTTAAATGCCCTTCTGAGATCCACCTACATTTCAATATCACAAAACCTATCTGCTGAGTTTTGGAAAGTTGTATTTGCATTCTCTTCCTCCTAACACTGACCAAAACTGCAGCCCCTGTCCAACCACCCTGAGAAATCTACCAGTGGGGCCACAGTTGTGAAGCTAAGGACACACAGTGGCGATTGCACTTCAGAGCTGTGTTGGGCGGGGGGGGGAAGGGGCAGTCTCATACATGCTCCATTGTGCTAATTGTTTCAGTGCTAGCAGGAATAAAAAGTAGTAAAAGTTTATTTTAGGCACTAAATCAAACAAATGTGCTGTACGCACAGTTCAGGAATTAAAAATCTAGTAATACATCTTGGAAATGTTTTCAAAAACATTCCACTTAGTGCCGTTTCAGGGTATGAATTATTTTATGGATTTGGGTGCCTCTTGGTTATTAAACACATTTGCCTGATTCTAAGAAGCTTGGTTTTGATTACTCTGATCCTATTATCTGTTGTCTGCGTCACCACAGTCCATCATACAGGAGTTAGTTCTCATGTCTGAAACATGCAATTATGGCTTTTGGTAGGAGTAGCAGCAAATTCTGCTCCCATTTATATGCTTCCATGAAAGTGAAACAAAACACAGAAGGAATACTGACCGAAGGCATGCATGAAAGGGAACTGATCTGTGGAATATAATAATAATGATAATTATTAATATGATATTACCACTTTCCAGGTTGTTTCAATACTGAAATATTTAAATGACAGTATCAAAATATTGACAATATGATAAAAATTACATGCATCCTTATCTTGAGAAGAATCAGCAAAACATTTCATAACTTTTTTCTTTGTTTTTTTTTTTTTTATTCCAAGCATTTTGTTTTTCCTCTTTCTTCTTACCTCTTCTTTCTAATTTTCTATTTGCAACATTAAGCAGTTTGGTTGTTTGAGACTTCTTTTATCTTTCTGCTTGTGCATGAATGTGTTTTTAAATGGGTAGCTCCCACTTTATGCCACACTTGAATTATACCAAGGAAAGAAACTGTTCTATTAAAAGAACACAAAAGAAATTTGCAAGGGAAGTTTTTGAAGAGGAATATGTCAAATTAAATAAAGACCATTGTTAGACGTTTTTCCTCTGGTGTAATTTCAGTTCTGAAGAGAGTCTAAATTTAGACTCTGAGCAGTAGGTATGGCTTTATGTAGCATATTGAGTCCTACATTTGGAAGAAAGATTTGCATTGGGGAACTGACCTAAAAAGCTTTTAGAAAAAATTTAAGTCCTTTGTTTCTGTCCTCTGATAAACAGCTTTTCGTTGTGTTTTGTCATGTGCTTGCCTTTAAGGGATGGGAAAGGGTACGCCAAATGACACCTCTAAGTCAAGCAGCTTTTCCTGGTGTGGTTTGGTAATGATCCAAAGCCAGCCGAAGTTCATATGCAATAGAATGCTCCTTATGCTCAAGCAAGGACAAGGGGGACGTGGGCTTGAGATATCTGCAATAGTCACACCACAGCTTCTCATCCAATGTCTCTTGGTGCCTCCACCCAGTGGTGAACCAGGACTGAGAGCTCTGGATGTTGCTGATATTAAAGGGAGAAATTAATGTGAACCATAGTATTCTAGGTAAGCTTACTTACACAGAAACCAGCATATCTTGCTAAAAAGCCAAATCAAACAACAGGAGAGGGCATCTAAGTGGTGGGTCCTGCACTTGGGTCACAAAATCCCACGCAACGTAACAGGCCTGTAGAAGAGTGGCTGTAAAGAAGCCTGGCAGAAAAGGACCTGGGGGTGTTGGTAGACAGCTGGCTGAACATGAGCCAGCTTGTGCCCTATCAGCCATGAAGGCCAACAGGATCTTGGTGTGTATTAGAAACAGTGTGGGCAGCAGGACTAGGGAAGTGATTGTCCCTCCATGCTCAGCACTGGTGAGGTCGCACCTTGAATAATGTGTTCAGCTCTGGGCCACTCTCTACAAGAGAGACATTGAGGTGCTGGAGCAGGTCCAGAAAAGGCAACAAAGCTGGTAAAGGGTCTGGAGAACAAGTGTGAAGAGGAAAGGCTGAGAGACCTGGGGTTGTATAGTCTGGAGAAAAAGAGGCTGAGGGAAGACCTTCTCACTCTCTACAGCTATCTGAAGGGAGAATGGAGTGAGGTGGGTGTTCATCTCTTTTTCCAAGTAACAAACAGTAAGATAAGAGGGAATGGCCTCAAGCTGTTCCAGGGGAGATTTAGACTGGATATTAGGAAAAAATTCTTCACTGAAGGGATTATCAAGCATGGGAGCAGGCTGCCCAGGGAAGTGGTGGAGGTGCCATCCCTTGAGGTATTTTAGAGACATGGAGATGTGGTGCTTAAATACATGGTTTAGTGGTGGACTTGGTAGTGCTAGGTTAACAGTTGGACTCGATGATCTTAAAGATCTTTTCCAGCCTAAATGATTCTAAGATTCTATGATTCATTCTCAACTGCAAGCCTTCTTCAGCCATCTTTCAGCCAAAACCCTCTGCTTTCATTAAAGCCACGTCTCCTGATACTTGCTCAAGAAATGTCCATTTTTCCTTTGCCTCCTGTTTTTCTTCAGCTTTTCTCACACATGAAAAATACCTGGTGACAGCTCCTCCCTTCCTGCTTGAATATACCTTTGTACAGTGGGGCTCTGAATCTTGAGGATGATTTAGATCATGCTCCTCTTGGAACACCCCATAGCTGAGGGGACATCACAGCTTCGTTTTGGAGGGGAAAATGAAGGCACAAAACAGCAGTACACACTGCCAGCACCCATGGAACGAAGAGCAGAGACAAAGTGTCTTGAATCCTTGTCTCCAGGGCCACCATGCCTCATTTGGGTGGGTTACCTGGCCAGCGATGTGCCTGCGGGCAGGGGGGGGACCCAGGAAGCTGTGTAGGAGGATTAAGATGTTCTTAGGGATAATCTACATATCATTAAAACCCCTATGCCATCTGAGTGCATAATGGTACTTTATCAACTAAAAATTCTTTATTTAATCAGTTGATTTAATTATGAGCTACTTAATTGAAAAATTCATGGTGCAAGTTCTGAAGGTCAAAATACTCAGAAGTTCAAAGAAGACTGGAGTATTTTTTTCACACGAGCTGTGCTCTGCAGTGCTGAGTTACAGAAATCTGCTCTGATTCAATCTGGCAAACTGATTTTGGGAATAAACAACTGAATTACCAAACAAGAAGACAATTCACTTCCATTCATGAGGTGCGAATCTATCTACTGCCAGCTGTGGTTAGTTTGTGATTGATTTGTCTGTATGCTGTGGTTTCCAAAAGATCCAAGTAGTAACTACTCTTGCAGAAATGCCTTTAGCACTGTCCTGTCAACCCCGTTAGCCCTCTCAGGAACACATCTGTGTCTGTACAGAGTGCTGGATTGATTGACCTGCAGGCTGTGGTTCTCCCTAAGTGGGAGAGACACACCAAGGGCAGCAAGAGCTCGAGATTCCCACCTCTGGGTCACTGTGTTTCACAGCAGCATGAAAGGCTTTTTCAGAAGTTGCACAGGCCAGAGGAAATATCTGGTCAATAATCAGGAAATAATCTGGATTTATAACCCCCTAGGCATTGCTAACACTGGTTCCCCTCCCAGACAAGCGCAACAGAGCCAGGGACCACTAAGAAGTCAATTGAGATCGCTGTTTTAGACTGAAAGTCATGTAAATATCTGCCGGGATATTATATACTTATAGAAGATTAAACAGCAAAAACTGTAGCCAATAATCTGTGAGCTTTGGGCAGGTAAGGATGTATGAAAACCCTGCAGCCTTAGTGCTGCTGCAGAAGTGTGAGTCCTCTGTACACTACTCTTTGTCCTGAGAGCAGGTTGAGGACACACATCCTCATGTTCATGCCTGTGTGCAGCCCAGACCTCAGGTGTACAGAGACCATGATATCATAGAATCATAGAATTAACAAGGTTGAAAAAGACCTTTAAAATCATGAAGTCCAGCTGTTACCCCAGGACTGCCAAGCCCGCTACTAAACCATGTCACTAACGGCAAACTGAACTCCCGTTATGCCTGCCCCTCATGATCCCCACTTGCAGTTACCCCTCATCTGTCCCCCATAGTGGCCTATACTGTATAGCTGCCATCCCTACCCCTCATGGCCACCCCTCACACTCCATGGCTGCCCTCCTCCCCCCTCATGATCTCCCTTCATGGCTGCCCCTCCTCTCCTATCATGATCTTCCCTTATGACCACCCTTCCTCTCCCCCCATGATCTCCCCTCATGATGGTCACTCCCCCCTCATGGCTGCCCCTCCTTTACCCTCACAATTTCCCCTCATGACCGTCCCTCGTCTCCCCTCACAATCTCCCCTCATGGCCACCCCTTGTTTCCCCTCACAATCTCCCCTCATGGCCGCCCCTTGTTTCCCCTCACAATCTCCCCTCATGGCCACCCTCCCTTTCCCCTCACAATTTACACTCATGGCCGCCCCTTCTCTCCCCTCACAATCTCTTTTCATGGCTACCCCTTGTCTCCCCTCACAATCTCCCCTCACAGTCTCCCCTCATGGCTGCCCCTCCTTTACCCTCACTCCCTTCCTTCATAGCCACCCCTGGTTTCCCCTCATGATCTCTTCTCATGGCTGCCTCTCCTCTCCCTTCATGGCCTCCTCTCATGGCTGCCACTCCTTCCCCCTCATGATCTTCCCTCATAGCCATCCCTGGTCTTCTGTCATGATCTCCCCTCATGGCTGCCCCTCCTTTCCCCTCATCATCTCCCCTTATGTTCTCCTCTCCTTTCTTCTCATGATGTTCCCTCACAGCCACCTCTCATCTCCTTTCATGATCTGTCCTGGGTTCAGCAGTAGCAGTCATTTTTCTCCTTCTTAGTACCTGGTGCAGTGCTGTGTTTTTGACTTCCAGCCTGGGAACAGCACTGATAACACCGATGTTTTTAGCTGTTGCTCAGTAATGTTTACTCTGACCAAGGACTTTGTGAGTGTCAAGCTCTGCCAGGGAGCAGGGGAAGCCGTGAGGAAGCAGAGACAGGACACCTGACCCAAACTAACCAAGGAAGTATTCCATACCACAGCATGTCATGTCCAGTATATAAACTGAGGGCAGTTACCCAGAAGGACAAGACCACTGCTCGAGTTGGGCTGGGTATCGGTTGGCGGGTGGTGAGCGGTTGTATTCTCTTCCCTTGTTATTTCCCTTATCATTATTATTACTGGTGGTAGCAGCAGTGATTTGTGTTATACCTTAGTTACTGGACTGTTCTTATCTCAACACGTGGGAGTTACATTCTTTTGATTCTCCTCCCTATTCCTCCAGGAGTGGGGGGAGGAAGGCGGGGGAGAGTGAGCGAGCGGCTGCATCGTTCTGAGTTACTGGCTGGGCTTAAACCACGACATCTCATGTCATGGCTGCTCCTCCTCTCCCCTCAAAATCTCCCCTCATATCCACCCTTTGTCTCCCCTCATGATCTTCCCCAATGTCCACCCTTCATTTCCCCTCATGACCCCCTTTATGGAATACCCTGAGTACTGGCAAACCCTGGGCCACTTCAGGCTTAGTGTTTTCACCCTTGTCATTCCTGTCTCAGCAGGAGGGTGACACCAGCCTGGTTTCAACATAGTCTGTACATTTATCTGTCCTAAACAAAATACTGTTACTTTAAAGAATATATTTTTGATTTAGTTTTTTTGAAATATTTGGTTTGGTTGGTTGGCTTGTTGTGCTTTTTTTTTAACAACGTTCTTTGAAAGAATTGCAACGAATTTAATATTGTTTTTGTGAATCTGCAAGTAACCAGAATTATTAGCTCTTAGGGCTCAGTTTTTCTCATACTTTTCAATGGTATCAGTTTATTAACTTAGAAGTCCTGTGGTGGTCATGTCAGTCTGTCAATGTTAACTATTCAACTGCTGGATATTTGATGACAAGCAGAGATAGGAATGGAGCCAGCAGTAAAAGACAAGATACAATAAGAGTAAAAATTGTAGGAGGGGGAAACTAAAGTAACAACAACAACAGTAATAAAAAAAAAAGGAAGAAAAAGAATAAAAGGATGGTGAAGAAATGGAAGCAAAGGGCAAAGAACAAAAAGACAAAAAACTTGCATACATGCAATCTATATACATCTATATCTATATTGGTAGGTGAATACTTGAGGGATTCTGCCTGCAAGAAGAAGGAAATGAATAAATAATAACTGTAAAGTAATTTAATACTGTTAAAAACTGTCTGCTAGACTGTTGATTTCAGAGACTGCACTTCAGAGACTTTTGCCCTAACACTGCTTACTGGAAGACTTGTTTTTGTTCTTGTGGAACTGCACTAACAGCTCACAAACCACCCCAGACAATGAGTGGGGATGGGCTCCTGCTAGACACTGCTGAGATATGTACTGGGAAGGCTGGCAGCCTGCAAGAGTGATTCAAGGACCAGTTTTCTTAAGTGCTGCTGTTCTATTAGACTGTGTATCTACACTACAGAGCACCTCTGAGAGGTTTTTTCTCCTTAGGTATCATTAGAAAGCTATTGTGGTGCTTGTGGAAGTCCAACAGGTCTTGATAGGAAGAGTCCTGCTTCCATGCAAAACTTGCATTCCAGGCCCAGCTACCACTGCTGGGGATCGTTCTGGCCTTACTTACCCAAACTCTTTGCAGGGCTGTCTTTGCACTTCAAACTTATTCCTTAGGAGTTGTAAACACGAGTTAGGATGTATTTGTTTTAACATTCCTGTTGGGGAATCATTGGCAATTTCTCTTCATCTTTCAGCAAGGCTAATAGTCATTGGGCATTTCTGGTCCACACAGTGAGCATAGCTCCTTCTACTGATGTCACAGCACCTAACTCGCTATAACCATCTTGCTAACCTGGGGAGTAGCAAATGCACCTTTAGATAAGGTGTGCAGCTGAAACAGTGGTCCTGTGACACAGGAAATACAGGTTTCAAACCTCTTGGTAAAGCTTTGAAGAGTGTGTGGAGAACCAGTTTTCATACCCATATATAAAACCACAGCACCAATGCTGTATGCAAACAGGAGGAACGCAATGAATACCATTGCTAACACTTGCTTGAGACCAGTTAAAATTATTACCCAGTGACAATAGTGAGTTCAGCATGCATGCTTCCTAATGTGAGATTTGTGGGATTCTGTAACTAGTATATAATCCACATAAAACCTCCCCTCAGCACCAAAGATGTATTGGGGAGGCACTGCCTGTAGGTTTAAAAGGCTGCTCTTGCCCATCTTCTACCACTAAAAATGGAAAGCTTTGCTGTCTGCTGTGATTTTTGACAGTTGGCCTAATAAGGCAGCAGAAAGAAAAGAACAACATAACAGTCATATAGTTAAACAGTTTTCACATTTTGCTCAGGTTTCCTGTCTCTCATTATAGGCATTTATGAGAAGTGAAAAACACATGAAAATTCAGAAGACATTATTTGAAACAATAAGTGAGTCTAGGTAATAATGTACTGTATGCCCAAAAGCAAAGGAAATAATTGTTTTTTAATCTAATGTTGTATTTATCACTCCTGGGATGAAAATACAGCTGACACATATTTCAAGTGTAAATTCAAAATATTCATGTGCAGCCAAGCAAAGTTTTATTTCTCACTTTCCATCTGTTTCTAGTGAGGTTATGTTGTTGTTTTTCTGCATTTTGCAGTTGCATTATCTTAATAAATGATTAGTTGTGAGATATTATTTCCCTTTAAAACATATGACAGCAAAACAAGTTTTTAATAAAGTGTTTTGAAAAAGCAACAGACTGAAAAAAACTGGGCAAGAGTTCAAATTGGTAATGAACTGAATATGCCTCTAATTATATTGAATTTACAAGTAATAGGATGAAGCAACATTAGAAATTACTTCTGACTGAAATTCAGTGCCTTAAGGCTGAGAATGTGCCCCTCAAACTTCCGGAGACTGAATAAAATTGCTGTATCATTATTTGTTTTAAATATCTGTCACTTCAAATCTCAAAATGAAGGATGATGGGCTAAGCCTTCCTGAAAGCAGATACTCTGATAAACGTGTCACAAAACCTGAGGTTTTTCTCAAGGGAAGATTTAGTTTTTGCCTTCAGTTTACCCACTACTTGTACATTACACATTTGATGTAAACTGGTCAGGGTATGTGTAATACAAGGCTCAGTACATATTTAAACCTTAATTTTTTAGCTGGGATTCAGCTGAGCTGATCTAGATGAGGCTCATCATAAGACAATCTCTGTGCCTCATGGCAGTAATTTAAGACTCAATCTTAATCTTTGTATGAAGTAATTTTATATCAAATGTATAAATAATTAATGTGTTATGTATGGAAACGCTATCAGATTAATTCCTTTAATAACAAAAATCCTTAGATGAATAGAGGTTGGTCAGCAAAGTGACCTTTTATCTTTTTTTCTGTGACCTTGAATTAAATCCAGCATTGACCATAATGACCATTAATCATTTTGATCAGATTGCTGAGAGAATTACCAAATGAAGTCAGTTTAGTCATCTCAGTTTACTTTCTACATGGAAGAGGCACTGGGTTTGCATCATACAAACAACACAGGTTTCTGCAGGTCAAAGCTGATATTTGTGAAGCAGCCTGAGCCTTGTCTAAGTTCATGTCTGTAGGTGTTCTTGAACCTGCTGCAGATAAATAAAGGATTTCTTCCCCCAGCATGGGTAACCTTATGTTTTGTGTCATAAATAGATATAAAATGTCTTACAGCTAAAAGTACAGAGAAAGGGTATGCTTGCAGGTCAAGCAGAGTACACAAGACTGTCTCACAGATTCCTCTGGGGTTCAAATATGTTTGCATACTGCAGGGGAGGAAAATACAAGTTTCATGCCTACCTCCATGGCTGCTGCTACTCAGCTGCTATCAGCAGAGTGTGAATGAAAACACAACTGGAGAGAAAATATTAAAAGACATTTAAAAACTTGTCAGATCAGTTATTAGGTTAAGTAATATTTGCTATAACCTCAGCTTCATGGATCAGCTTTCCTGATGAGATCACAGCAGGTTAATGCAGGAAAGAGGCAAAACCAGAATCCAAGTCAGAAATGGAGAAGCCCATCATAATAAGGAACAGCAGAAAGTTCCTGATATAATGAAACTGTGATGATCAAATATATTCCACTTTTTCCATGCTGAGGACAGTATTTTGGCAGTGCTACAGGGACTGAAATGGATGATGTGCACAGTCCATCAGTCATTATCTTGAATCTTACATGGCATAAATGATAAAAATGATAAAAAACTAAAAGCGTTTCCAGGATCTCTCTTTTGGGGAATAGAGCTTACTGGTCCAAGCTAGAAAGTGTCACTGCCATGAAATTGAAGTTCTCTTGCCTAAGAAAACTGCTGATTCAATACAAAGGAAAAAGTGCTGGAAGGAACAGGAAAATTGCTGCCCAGGTATCACATATCTGTGGCAACAGTTATCACAAACATAGACAGAAAAGCAGTTCTCTTATCACTGAAGTGCTTCCAAGCTCCTTAATGAGAATATTACGGGATCTGTTTCACAGGCTTCAGCTACAGGAGAAATGATCTGCCACCTCTCTGTGCTGACATATCTCCTACCTTCTAGGCTGCAGCCCCCCTTCCCCACCCTTCCAGATGACATACCTTTTGGCTTGTGCTCCACATGATGTGGTAATGTATCAGCCCTGCTAGAACAACATGTACATCAGCTGGCTAGTATGATTTATATTTAGCCTGTCAAGTTTCACTTATCTGAGTCTTAGCTCTTATTCCACCACCACCACATTTGCATGTTGCGCATTTGTATAGCACTGGGCACTTGCAACCTTAATGTGACCAAGAAGTGGAGTGCTGTTGAACTCCCATATAGTATGGAAGGACTTGATGGACAAATATGCTGCCTTCTTTAGGAAAGGACCAAAAGAAAACCTTTTTGAGAGAGACACTGGTAGAATCTATCTAAAGTGTTTTCTAACCAGTATCATAGCTCTTTTTTACAAGAAATGTTCATACTAATTTGCACAGGGTGCTTTTTCTTTCCCCTGAACCTTGAAAGGTTTCAGGTCTGGAAGCTTCATGGATGTGGAGCCAGATTTATTAGAAGTAACTGACATGATAACACTGAGCCAGTCCATCCCCATCCTTTTCCTCATTACACATATACACAAAAGGTGCAAATGCTTGCAGGCTGTTAATCACAAACTCAACTGCATCTGAACTGGGTGTGCAGATTCTTGTTGCTAAACCCATACAATATGGTTTTATAGCTGCCTGCTTCTCTTTGTGTGCATGCCACATGCAGTGCGGTGTGACATTTAGCATGTTTAGTTATAATTCAGCACGGTGATACAAGCCAAATTAGTAACCTCTTTCCTGGTAGCCATTTAATAACAGTCACAAATGGCCTGAGGAAATCCCCATTTGTACTAAAGATGATTTAACAGACACAGATGTGTTCATCTATGCAGAAATTTCAAAGGAGGCTTTTTCACAAATACATGCTGCTTGTTGCCTTCCTAGTGGCATTTGTTACTGCTTCCTGCAATGCTTGGTTTAGGTTGGCTCTTGTTTTCATGGGCCAAATGAAGGGTCAGCCAGGGTGAAAGGATACTCTATCTTTTTTCTTCTTGCTAAAACCATTAGTTCAGATCAATTTTATATTCCTATATTCCATTAACACAGAAATATGTTCTTAGAAAGCATCAGATGGTGCACTGCGCTGCCTTTTATAGGCAGGGCTATTGCTTCTTCATTTCATATGAATTAGGAGACATTTCAAAAAATGAATGCAAACCCAAACAATCATTTCAGTGCACTTTTCTCTGAGATTATTGTTTTAGCTAGATGCATAATCTGTATCTAAAATATATGAAATGGAGGTATACTTAATGTTCAAAGTGATATATGATAAAGGCAGAAAAAGGTGAACTCTTTGATATATTACAAGTCTTTCATACCATGAAATAACTATTGCCTATTATTTTACTCCTGACATTTTTATTTTTAGGGGAATTTCAGTTGATTTGTATTGCTGACACCACTGATATGTTGTTTCCAGTGACCTTACATCCAAAATCAGTAGGGTGTGACATTTGATGGCCCAGATAAAAAACGTTAATAGTAGAAGAAAGGGTTTATTTTCCTGGTCATAAATTAAGTTTAAATAACTCAGAATTTATTTTAAACTCTTCAGTACTTTTTACTGTCTGCCCAATAAATGTATTTATTACTGGCACCTTAACTCAGGTTTTCTTGGTGAAGCAGTTTCCTCGGATGCTTTTGCCTTATTTTCTGAGGCAGCATTAGGTGGGAGCAAGCACTGCTTCTCACAGACAAAAGGATATGGCTCCCAGGTAGTACATAGAAAGGAATACGGTGGCAGCTTTTGGCATGAGGTACAGTGGTGAACAGTTGGGCTCTGGGAATTTTACAGCATCTCTGCTAACATATGTAGATAGACTAATAGAAGTAGTAAATGCATAGTAGAAGTATTAGTATGACCTAACCTGTAGTCTTATCACACATGTTCACATTCATGCCTGTTCAATTTGCCCTGCAAATGTTCTCTTGAGGCATTTTTTCATGAATGCCAGCGAATGACATACTATTCCTGTGTAAATTTCTCCACTACGAAAATATTCAAAGAAAGACCAAAATCTCCAGATGCAACTTGAAAAGGAGAGATAATGAGAAAGTGAGAAATTCACTCATCAGAACTGTTACAATCAGCCCTTGGGATGTAGGCATCTTTATGTAAAAGAGGAGTATGGCTGGTGCCTCACCAAAACCTTAAAAATCCTGGAAAAAAACGTTCTTGCCTCTCTCTGATCTGCAGCTAGGTCTAAGGGTCCTGCAATGCAGTGAGGAGAGTATGATTTTTACAGACTAACATTTATGAAAATGATAAATTGTTATTGGATTGTTTTAAGAACCTTTATAACAGTGAGAATAGAGCTATCACCATATATAGGCTGTTAAAGTCAAGATGGGTTCATGCAATGCGGGGTTGTACTCTGCATTCCCCCCTGTCATTTTTTGTTGCATAAATCTGTTTAGGAGATCACTGTGTCTCTTACGCACTGTCCGTGAATGGTGATACAGCATCTGTTTGCATAGCTGAGCCCTGGAGGCACTGGCAACAAAGAAGGGTTGTGAAACTATTTTGCTCTTCAGAAAAGTCTTTTTGGAGTTTCTGATGCAATCTGATTCACTGAAGCAAAACCAAGCTCTTTGCTACAACAAAGGCTGTTCTTTTCTGAATGAAGGAGAAGGGATCAGATTAATTTACCTGATTAAAGATGCTTCCCACTCTCTTTGTGTTGAACAAACGCCATCTGCAACTTCAGTGTGGGTAGAAAAGCACAAAAGATATGAGATTTGGATATGAGAATGTGAGCTTCCACTGGGAAGAGTTCACTTATCCTAAATCAGCTCAGGTCTATTCTCACAGACCTGGTCTGTGGGTTGAATTTGCTTACCCCATCTTTCAACCATGATTCTTGTTGCAGAAACACAGGGCAGTGTCACTGCCACAACACAAATCTCAGATGCTTCAGGTAGATCCCAGCATACCTGGCCTGGAAGAGGACTACTTCCTAATGGGATGATAGCAGCTGGCCAGAGCGAAAGGTTTTCCAGTTTGTGACCTTTGAGGGGGACTCAAAACAGGCTTTAGGCTCAGGATGTGAATTCACAGGTGAGGCAGAAAGTACATGCAACAGACCTTTCTGTACATAGCTTTATACTGCAGCCCCTTCAGTCTGTGTATTTCAGTACAAGCCATCAGGAAACCACAGCACTGAAAAAAGAGGCCTCAGACATGCATGATCACTAAAATTAAATGTTTAAATTCACCTCTACTCTGCTCTTGTGAGACCTCACCTGGAGTATTGTGTGCAGTTCTGGTGTCCTCAACATAAAAACGACATGGAACTGTTGGAACAAGTCCAGAGGAGGGCCACGAGGATGATCAGGGGACTGGAGGACCTCCTGTATGAAGACAGGCTGAGGAAGTTGGGGCTGTTCAGCCTGGAGAAGAGAAGGCTGCGTGGAGACCTCATAGCAGCCTTCCAGTATCTGAAGGGGGCCTATAGGGATGCTGGGGAGGGACTCTTCATTAGGGACTGTAGTGACAGGACAAGGGGTAACGGGTTAAAACTTAAACAGGGGAAGTTTAGGCTGGATGTAAGAAGGAAATTCTTTCCTGTTAGGGTGGTGAGGCACTGGAATGGATTGCCCAGGGAAGCTGTGAATGCTCCATCCCTGGCAGTGTTCAAGGCCAGGTTGGACGAGGCCTTGGGTGATATGATTTAGTGTGAGGTGTCCCTGCCCATGGCAGGGGGGTTGGAACTTGATGATCTTAAGGTCCTTTCCAACCCTAACTATTCTATGATTCTATGATCTTTTGGTTTCTCAGTTTTTAGGATGAACTCAGTTCATATTTTCTTCTGCAGCCAGCGGGATTATTTCTGGGGAGTTTTATTTTGGAGTCTTGGTTTATTTTAATAATTTAATCTGATGTGTAATCTCTTGATTTCAACATCAGAGTCTTAAAAAATCTGAAATAATATGAGCTGGCAATGCTCAAGCTGTATAATAGCTGTGCGAATGTACAGGTTTGTATGTCTTCTTTGACTGAAACTTTTTATACAGTTCAAAGCCTAGATTTCAGCAGTCTTCTGTAGCTGATTTGCTGAGGAGAACCAGACCATGAGTCCAAGTTTGGTTGGTAGTTTCCTATACAAATTAATGTACAGAAGAATAATAAACTCACCAGTGTTTTCTTTTACAGTTACTTTTCCTAGACGCATATGCTGCTGTTGAACTGGTAGTCTGTGTATGAGACGTCCAATGAGAAAAAGGAGAAAGGAATTTCGGATGATCCCATAAACTTCCTCAGAGAGCTGTGCAAATGACTTCAGTTGGTCCAAGGGGGGCACAGAGGCTTTTGTCTCCTCCAGCTTGACTTTCCTCAGCAACTTCTCTTTGTGCAGCTAATGGTGGAGGAAGAGGATCCCAAGGCACATCTGCCTCAGGTTCATTGTCCTCAGTGGGTATCTCTCCATGTGGTTGGGGGAGAATGAAAGGCACCTCCTCCAGATGCCATGGGTGTGTAAGGAGCAGGGCAGTTTGCTAAAATAGTTTTTGGCTTCCCCTCTGCCTAACCTCAAGAACCAAGGGCTTTCATGGCACTAACCCACCCTATTATTCTTTCTTTCTCCTTCACAGTTCCTTGCTTGAAAAGAACGTGAGATTGCAGGGGGTCCTAGGATTGTTGGATCCATGTGGGGATTTCTGTGGAGCTAGTGGGAAAGGGAGCCCATGGCCAGAACTGCGCTTAAATAAAGTGGTAGACTGTCTACATAGACTTGTCTGCTTCTCCACTCTGTTTCAAAAAACAGAAGGCCATTGTGGGGAGATGCTACATCCTTGGGGCATGACAGAGCCCTCTTCTCTCATCTCAGACATAGAGCAAAACTGTCCTACTACACAACTAATCCATCCTTGGGACATGATATGTAGCCTGAAGAAACCTGGGCTACACAAAGCTGACTAATGACAGCTGCTCTTCCTACTCTGGGATGCCATTGTCCACTGCAAAAGCAAATAGGAAGGTGAAATAGAGGTCATGACAGAAAATGCCATCATCGACGTCCCTTAGAGGCTGCATCCGGATCCTGGCTTGTTTTGAACAAGTCCTCTCTCTGTATCACTCTTTCTTCAGCTACTCTGGTGATCTTAAGGAATTGTCCTAACAGCTGCACATGTTGATTTTCCACAATTCACAAGAGTTCCTATGTCTGGACATCAATATGCCAACCATTAATATATAGCATGCTTTTACTGTGAATTCATGAAGTAACACTGCAATTAAATTTCCCTGTTAATGACATGGTTTATTAATGAAAAAAGTTTCATCTGAAAATAAAAATAGGTTTGATTCTCCCTCTCAATATCATAAAATTCATGTTAGATACAGGTACTAAATGACATTTGAAAATATTGCCAAGCCAAGGAACCTAGTGAGGACAATGATCTTTTCTGCCCTCATTTGCCCTTTTCAGACAATTCGCAGAAAGAAATAAGGGGAAGATAGATAAACAGCAAAAAGCTCACCACAAACCAGAAGAAACCCCCAAATTCAAAGCAAGATAAATGCCAAAATGTTGTGATAAGGAAATTCACAGGAGTCTTCTGACTTTGAGTCCTCTCAGTTGGAAGGAAGATAGTGCTGAGATGTAAAAGCTTTTCATGTGCAGGTCAAAAGGCTCTTGGAGAAAGCTAAAGAGCAGGACTACAGTGCATGCCACAGAAGTACCTGCCTCATACAGTGTAAAAACACATTAGTATAAGGCTTAGATGATGATCTAGTGGTCTTTTCCATTCATTTGTGATAGATGCTTTCTGAGAAGACTTTGGTGTAAGTAATAACTAAGCTGATTAAACAAACAAAATTCAAGTAACTGCTACCTCAGTGGTATCTGTAAAGTTTCCTTTATGCTAATGGACTCCATATGGTTGCAGAGGTTCTCTATTTGTTATATATGTTGCTGTTTTCTTATTTTTTATTTTTTTTTATAAAATGCTCTAAATATTTTCTGTTGGAAGAGAGCAAAGCTATGGGAGGCTCTGAAGTGATATTCGTAAGAACTGTGAACACTGACTAATTGATTAACCAAGAGTTCTTGAAGAGAATGATTTGATTAGGGTAATTTATAGAGATTGTATCTTTTGTCATCGTTTGTCTTTGAAAACATAGAAGAAAACTGCTTCCAAGTGCATGTAGCCGCTGGCATGAGAGATGGTGTTCACTACATCATCAGTTACAGCGGACTGCTCAATTTTGTACCTTTCCAGCTAGTCAAATATCCAATAACAACACACACGCACATACACGCACACACAAAAAAGCGCTCTACCTCTTTGCACTCAAAAGTTTTTCAACATGGGCTTTGGGGTTGTTCACTGCACTGCTCTCTGTAGCATAAACATTTATTTAAATGGGGCTGTCTTTTCAGTAATGAAGAATGAAGGAAAAACAATGGTCTGATTTTGACAAATTAACTTGTGATTTGGAGAGTCAGTGAAGCAGGGAAGAGACATTCCTAACTATACTAATTAAATGAGCTTGCAACATTTATTTTAATGCAATGGAACCAGCCATATGAAGATGAACATTTTAATTTATTTTGTGGTGACATTATGAAAAATTTCTCTGCTGCAGATTATCTACAAAAACAAATCTCATCAGCATCTAGGTTTGTGCATGAAATTTACATCTCTCACATAAGTTTGACCTTCCCCAGTGAAAACAAATGGAATGTGCTAAGTTAAAAAGTTTCTGCAAAGGTTGTCTTCCCATTGATGCGGTGGTTTATGTTCAAATTACCTCTGTGAAAAACACATCCATTTTTCATGGTGCAGTGTAGATGAAAAATTCTGAATCTGTTCTAAGGGGAATGCAAATATAGCTCATTAGTTCAAAAACATTTTTCATGAACGACTGCTGAGTATTTTCAGGCAGATGAGAATGTGCAGTTTCAGCCAAGAATGAGCACCACATGTCCTACTAATTGTTTTTTAAACTTGTTCCTTCCCTCTATGGCATTCAATAAGTCTAAAAAGTGTGAAGATTCCTGGAGAAAAAAAATTATAGGTATCCTCACTTATAGCCTATGCTGGGTCTTTTCAATATACAGTTCAGTATGAGAAAAAAGTAGGAGCATTAACTTTCAGATTGGTAATATCTTTATATTCAGGCACATGACATTTCTCCCCTCAGAGTTTTTTCAGGTTTTAGTAATGAGTAGGAATATTATTTATGAGTGCCATCAACAGAGAGAATGTTGTCCTAAGGTTCATATCAGTGATGGTGTTATGGAGCTGCTGTCAGCAGGAGCTGCAGGAGTTGATTGGGTTTTGGGGTTTTAACTAGGTTGAGTATCAGTATATTTTCACTGCTTAAAATGATTCTTAAGAAGGCGCTTTAGCCAGGATTTTCCTCTCTTCTGCAGGCCTCCCCAAAATTGCTTTGAGATGGCCTTAAAAAGCAGGAGATTTAAGCAATGTCAGGCTTCCAGCCTTCCCTCCATGAGTCTGAAATCTGGAACAATTAAATACAATAAAAAAAAAGAAGATGTTGTTTTAAATATCATCTGATTTCAGGATCTGGTTCACTTGTGTATCTTGTGACTCTGGGTGTTGGTCCTCCATGTGTGATGTGTGCCTACCAGCTCCTCCTTGCCTCTGTAGAGGAGAATGACTCTCCAGGGGCCTTTCTGCAGCTAGACCCACCTTAACATTTCAGACTTGTCATTTTACCCAGCCATCTGAGTCCAGGAGGTGAACTGCCGCTGTTAGGGGCTGGTAAGGGTGTTGGGTGACTGAAGTCAGTATTACAGCTACAGCTGAGCTGAAATCATCAGGGCATCCTTTGGATGAGCTCCTCTTCACCTGTGCAACCGTGCAGCCCTCTACCTCAACCTCAAACATACAGACACCCTCTGCTTTCCAAAATTCATGCTTCTTCACAGATTGTAGATATTTATCTTTTATCTTGGCCCTTTATCTGTTAGATTTGGAATGTGGGATCAGCTAGTTGCAAAAAAAAGAAAAAAAAAAGGCTAGTTGTAATGAACTAGGGTTTCCTACAACTGATCACTCCCCTTCTTTCTGCCTCTTGCCTGACACCATAGACCCTTCTCTTCCCCACCAAGGGATCAGCAAACCCTGGCATCTTGTGAATCATTCCGCCTACCAATGAACTGTAGCCACCTCTGGACTGAGCTGTGCAAACCTTCTGCCCAAGCAAAGAAAAGCTTGAAATATAATGAGCGTAATCTTTCACCCAGCTGAGACTGTGGAGGCATGTTAGACAAGAAAGAGGTTATTAATGAAAGCTGAGTTGGAATTTAACCATAACAATCATATTAACATCCCTAATCCAGTGTTATGGGAATCTTAATGACAGTCAAGTATGGAAATTTAAGCCAGTCGACAGTAAAAATCCTGGTGCCTAAGATCATAATCATTTTTTCTACCTAGAAAATAGTCCTGTGTTCCCTAAATATTTGCTAAACACTTGCTGATTATGATTTGTTCAAGATGGGAAACAGCCAGGCACTGACTAACATCACTATCCTGTAGGCCTGTTAATGTGTTGTTGACAAATGACATGCTAGCATTTTTTTCTTGATTCAGGATATCAGTCACTGCTTTTCTATTTAGGTCTTCCAGAATACTCTTTTTTTGGTGGCCAATCTTAAGAGTTCTCTTACGATAATTTACTGTGTTAAATCTTCTTTACCAGAACAAAAATATCCTCCCTGTCGTGGACAGAAAGGTCATCTCCAGCATGTACCATCATCAGGACTTGTAGCACTGTCATAGTGGGGTACTTCATGACCCCTGCTCACATCAGCAATCTTCAGTGTATGTGATCTATACAGAGCTCCATGGCTACAAGGCCAGAGTACAGCCATGATTTAGCTTCGACCAAGGAAAGCTCCCACAAGATGGTGATTCCTCGTATTTCCTGAGAATATAAGAAATGCCCTGGCTAGCATAGACACAGAGACTAGGATTCCCTTCAGCTCCTGGAAGGTGAGTGTTACTCCTGGAGCAGTTGCAGATGCAAGCTCTAGTAAGTGATATACAATGTTGAAGGAAAGTAGAGGGTTTATTCAGATTTGTTGAATATACATTGCAGTACTCAATAACTCTGCTTCTAAAGATCATTGATCAATAATTATACTCAGAAATAATGCAGCTACCACATTGTGCACTGGCCCCAACAGAACAGCCAGCTGAAGAAACAAACCTTCAAGGAAAAGCTAAAGCCACACAAAAAAGATATCAGTGTATCATCTGAGGGGACAGATAAAAGTACCTTCTTGCAGTGTGATGGAGTTTTCTGACTGATGATGTTTCGCTGATCTTGAAATATGGAGGTATTTTATCATCACTGAGTCTTATTCATCTCTCCTGAAGCAGTCAACAGCTGAGCTCCTACTCACAAACCTGACATTTCCAACCATGTTTATACTCAGCTAAAAACACCAATGCACTGAGAAGATCTCACAGGACAAGACTCATCCAAAGAGATACTTTTATAAAACTAAGATGCCACCAGCAATGAATCTGTCCCATGTTTTTCAGTATGCCATTTACAAGCAATAAAGGCTGCTGTCATTCTTCCCATGAGATCCCTGGTGAGGGAAAAAGATGATGCATTTATACAAAAGCTAGCACATAGACCTTCAAAAAGAAACTTTTGACAATTTGCTTTTGACTCCAAAATAATGTACAAAAAGTCATTGCTCTTTCTGAGCTCATATGTGTTTTGTGTTTGTCTTAAGGAATCATTTCTCTTCATTCACCTTTTTACTCTGTTTAGGCAAGCAGATTAATGCTGTGTGCCTGGACTGGGTGCTTTTCTGGCTTTCATTCTGTGAAGATGGCAGGTCAAATAACGCAGGAATCCATCCCAGTGGGGAGAGGTTTTATTTCTCACCAGTCTTCCAGACCCTCTATACGCCATGTTTCTTCCTCTTTTATTTGTCCCCTATTCCTCTTTTACTTCCCTAATTTCAATTACCCTTTAAGTAAGAAGCATCTAATGATATTACTGTCACCTTCTGCCGTCTATAAAGAGCAGCCAGTTGCTTTCATCCTGATAAACATTTATATTAGACTGAGGAAAACAAGGAGCAACTCAGTGAGTCTTTTTCTGTGAAAGATTCATCTGTGCGTGCTTCTTCTGTAGGAGCTGCACCCCACCATTCCTGTGGAATATGCTGAACAGCCCAAACTGGCAAACATTAATGGTTCTCTAGGCATCCTCCTTGGTGACCGCAGGAGGCATAGCTAGCAAATGGACAATGTGGTCAGGATGCCAGGGGTTACTGTGTGCTCCCAGCTGCCTTGGGAAACCCTCCAGCCCATTCAACACCATGCAAAAATTGGAAGTCTTGAGCTCTAGGTGAATTGGTCACAAATACCTGTTCAGCTGGACATGTCAAACTGTGACAGAGCTGGCTTCATGGCTGGCTAATGGAAAGTGCTGTGTCTGATCCTGTGAATGGCTGCAGCTCCTGCCTTTTCACATTTCTGACACTTTGATTTACATTACTTGCTGAGCTGCTCCAGTATCAGCCTGCAACTTTTCCACAAGATGCTGGTCTTTGGGTAGCACGAGTGTCATAAATGAGAGCTAACAGACAGATATGAAAATAAGTTTTTTCCCTCTCTCTTTCTCTTTGTCTCTGCCCTTTAGTGCGGTATCAGTTTGCAGTAGATTAATTTTATGTAAAGTTTTACATTTCAGATTGTGATCAGCATTTTTTTCCTCTTGGTTGGCTCTGAGAAAACATATAGTCAAGTTTGAGAATTCATCATGTCTGATTAATGATGTGTATATAGAGCTTCCTGTATTATCTTCTTTCTTTTGGTCTTTTTTATTCAG